CTTATTACCACCTTTCAGGCCAAGTTATTTTTAAAAATTTCTTTTGTATTGACTGGGTGGTGGTGTGGAAGTCAGCTGACAACCTGCAGGAACCCAGGTCATTCCGTGTTGGTGGCAGGTGCCTTAGCCACTGAGTTGTCTTACCAGCCCTACGCTAAGGTTCTTAGCTAGCTCAGCCTCAGTTTCTGCAATGGACCGTGGAAGCCTGTGTTGAGAGATCCAATGGGACTCAGCCTGGAGAGGAAATGGAATATTGGGGAGCTCTAGCTCTGTCCTGGGGGTGACTGCCTGGTCTCAGACACTGGCTTTTTTATTCCCAGGCTTGTCCTAGGAAGGAGGGAGACTGCATTCATTTCCTACTCAGATTGGAGGAGCTGGGAGAGCCATATCTGGCTGCCTCAGCCCTTTTCTTGCTGTAAGAAGTTAATTAGCCCTCTCAGCCCCTCCTGCCTGCCTTACCACCTGAGCTGCTGAAGTGCAGGCCCAGTGTCAGCCAGGAGGTCTGATGAGCAGAACAAACATGCCCAGCTCCTGGTGCCCTGAAGTGTGGGTAGCATGGGAAGAGAGCAGGGAGTGGGGATGCCCGTTTTCTGCATAGCCTGTAGGCAGCTTTTGTTTGTCTCCAGGCGGTCAGTCTCCACAGCAGCCCTAGGAGCTGTTCTTCCTGCCTCTGGGAATTCCCAGACTTCCCCAGTGTTCTTGCTTCCTGGAGTTTCTAGTGTTCTTTCCTGTGTGACCTGGTATAAAAAATTAGCACAATATCCAAAAGAACATGGGTGCAGGCAGTTCTGAGAGTCCCCTGTTGCTGCCAGGTGGGGTCCACACCTCCAGGCCTTGCCCAGGTCTTTCTAATAAACCTTCAGTTGAGCCACCATCTATCTGTGTGAGCCACCTTCTACGCACTTCAGCACTAGGCTTCCCGCCATCAGATTGGCAAGCTCTCTTGACTGTGTCTGCCTGCAGACTAGGTTTCGGGGTTGGAAGGCAGAGGTGAGGCAGTCCTGTTTATCCAGATCTGAAAAGGGAATGTTCACTTCTCTGACATGGATTGGAGGTGAGCCAGGGTGAGGGATAGACCCTGGCTGAGGTCAGCCCCTACTGTTAGGGAAGCCAGCAATGCCTTGCAGCCTTAACTGGAGCCCAGTGTGGGCACTGCCCTACTTCAGCCCTAGTTGCCAGGGAACCACCTTGCTAACCTGGATTTCTCTATAGATGTTGCCTTTGTTGCTGCCTGGTGTAGCCACTGCTGAGGAGGACCTGTGTCCAGCTGTGTTTCCAGGCAACCCTTGCCTCTAGAGGCTGCAGAACCCGCCTTCTTCCCTGCCTTACCCCAGGTGGGCCCTGATCGCACCTCCCTCTCCCAAGGTGCCCTCACTTGGCTGGCTGCTCACCTGCCTGCCTAGAGGCAAATCACTCAGGGTTTCCCTTCCTCTGCACTCCCCTTCAGGATTCCCATGACCTGGGTTCAGCATGACCTGGGCTCTGCTTGCCAGTCTTCCCAGATCCCTCTCCTATACTTCCCACTCCCAGCGTGGCCCACTGGGTATTTCCTGTGTACTTGATCTCTTGCTACTCATTGATCACAAATACAAAAGAGAATTTCCCTATGCCTTACACTTGCTCTTCCTTTTTAAAAGTTTGCAGATGGCGAACTGCGGCATGGTGAAGAGTGTGCACACTTATTGAGGGCTCTCTGTGCCAATCCTGTGTTGAGAACTAAATGTGAATTCTCTCATGAGCCGTCTGCACAGGGCCTCATAGCTTCGCAGCCAGTGAAGAGCACAGGAGGGCAAGCTTGTGTTTAGTGATGTTTCCTCAGGTTAGCTTCAGATGCAAGTTAACAACATTGCCTCTGGGCTTCTCTACCCGCAGTGGGTGCCCTGTGGCCTCTGGCATAGCTGAAGACATCTTTCCTACTTCTCATCCCCAGTACAGCCCACACCCAGCATAGCACTGGGCACAGGGGACAGCTTGTGGTGAGAAAGGGGGCTGGGCAAAGGGCACCATCGCCGAGGGGAGGGGGCCTCCAGGAGGAAGTGACTTTGAACTGCGCTCTGGAGGAAGAGTAGGTGTTGACCAAAAGTGATAGGAGGGGTTTCTGGGCAAAGGAAACAACAGGTAACACACATCTGTGGCTTGAAAGAAGCTTCAAGTCGCTGAGAAAGAACCCTAAGGTGGCTGGTGTATGTGTCCATGCTGTGTAAGGTTTTCGGGGGTGTGCTGGGACACCATTCTAAGGGTGGGTGGGGGAGCTGGCTCAGGGCACGGCACACCCACATCTATCAGGACACCTAGGCCGCAGGTAAGAGTGATCCAGAGGTCAGAAGTGGACAGAGGCCTTGGAACATCTCAGGGAATGTGCTGGGGGTGGGGGGGCTTGGCTGGGGCTAGGGGTAAACCCACAGATTCAGTTCTAGGAAAGAGGAAGCCGCCTGAGGCCTGAGCAGGCAATACAGCTTCCTCTTTCTGTGAGGCCTCCAGGGCTGCTCCGCTCTGGGGCAGTGTCTACTGGCAGCTCCTTCTGCAGTTTGGAGCCCTGTTGCAGCTTTGCAAATTGGCTTGTACTCAGGGAATTTCTGTTCTAATTGTTTGGGCACTTTTCCAGAGGGTTAGGTTTAAGAAAGCCCCCTGAGTCTCCAGAGCCATTTGGTTGAGGTATCCAGTTCCATGCCTGGGTTGGGGGCTGGGCTTTGCGGTGAATAAAACAGACATTCCTACCCTGGCTGCTGTCTGGTTGGGGGTGGGTAGGGGGAGACAAACAAGCCAACAAATACTTAATTACCACCCCTGGGGGGTGTGGGGAGGAAGTCCCATGATCCGCTTGAGGCCCATTACCTGGGTTAAGCTTCATGACAGGCTTCAGCCACGGAAGGTAAACAACCTATTCTGCAGATGAGGAAACCAAGGCTAGGGAAGCTGGGGGCTCAGGTCCCATAGGGAATTAGTGGCTGTGTGGATGCTCAGGGCTAGGAGATGGAGGAGCGCCTGTGAGCTAACTTCCTTCTCTGCTAGAACCCTACCTCTTTAACCCTGTGTGGCTAAGGTGACTCCTCTCCCGGGTGCCCTGGAGCTGGAAGGGCTTTGTGGGCATAACCCTTCTCTTGGGCTTCAGTGTTCTCATTTCTGTCTGCTCATGTAGCCCCGAGGAGGTGTTAGGCCTTGGGGATATCATTGACTGCCTGGTCTTCTCAACAAGGAAGTAGGGGGCCTCCACTGACCCCTGCTAACCTAGGGGCTTCTTTGAGCTTGTTTTCCCATGGATTTCTAGGGCAGTAGCTTGGATGCTAGGCAACTGGGTGTCAGAGGTTGCAGCAGCAGGTGTATGCATGCATGCATATGCCTGAGCAGGCTGATGGGGATGGGGGGGCTCAGTCTGGGAGAGAGAGGGGGCCATGCAGCCAGACTGGAGTAAGTGCCAGTTTTGTGGTAATTAGAAGGTGCATAATTACAAGGCAAGGGGTGCTGGGCGGTGGCTGTCAGTGGATATGCCTGAGTGGGCTCACTCTGGCTTTGAGGCTGGGCCTCTGGACCCTCACTTTCCTCTGGGAAATCTCAAGATCACTCAGTCTCTGTCCTGTCTGTAGATGAGCAGCCGTATAGCCTCTCCTTGTGGCTCAGGTCACCCAGAAGGTGCTGTGAGTGTCTGGGTTGCCCGGGGACAGAAAGGGCTGCTGGGGCTGTGAGCGCGCTGCAGGGACACCTGAAGAGTTGGAGTTTGTAGTCAGGTCTGTGATGGTGAGATCCTCTGAAGGACTGTGGTGGGGCATGGGAGATAGTCTGGAGGGGACACAGATCCTTGGGAGGGTTTAAGGGACACTGTGGTGCAGAACCTGGAAGGCAGTTTTGTGACTGAGTTTGAGGAGGGAGAGGTCAAGGGATGAGTCAGGAGTACCATCTGTTGAGTGTTGACTGTCACATGTGGCCTTTACCTACTCTGGAGCCTGTCCTTCCCTGTCCCTGGTTTCCCCTTAGTTGGCCTGGAGCCCAAGAGGGGCCTCCTGCCAGGGACCTGGAGAGTCCCTGGATGATGTGAAGCCAGCTCCTCCCCTTCCCCTGGGTGTAACTCGAATCCCTGACCCTGCTGAGGTCTTTGTGGGGCCAGGCCCAGGTCAGGTGGCAGATAGGTTTCTCTGTTCCACTCTTGTTTCCAGCTGGGAAACCTGGCCACCAGCAGAAAGGGGACTCTGTGGCCTGGAACCTCCAAGAGCAACAAGTCCTCTCCAGGCCTGGCATTAGAACGGCCTGTGATCCCCTTGTCCAGTGGTGTGTGTGTGGGGTGGGGGCTGAGCACCCTTGGGTTTCAGTGGTTACTCATAGCTTGTATTGTGGCTTGATGAGCATCCTAGCCTAGTCTCTGACCCTGACTCTGGAAAATACGCTTTTCTGTATTTTCTGTTGTCTATTCTGAATCCTGCCATTCTAATTGTGTCAATTGGCTAAAGACTGCTCCAGAGATACTGCTGTCTGGACAGGGAGCTTCACTCAGCCTGGAGCAGGTGGGCTGGGGAGCTGGCACTGATGAAGAGTCTCTGGAACATCTCACAGTGGGACCATTGTTTCTTAGTCAGTTTGCCATAGCGTCCTCTGAGATGGAGCTCCCCATGGACACTGGTGTTCATAATTCCCTAGTGCAGAAGCATGCCTGTCTATAGGAGGTGCTGGAGAGGCTCCAGGAGGCTGAATGCCAGATTGTCACCCTCCCTCCCAGGCCCTGCCATCACACATGGGCAGGCAGAGATGCAAACACATAAGCCCAGGCCTGGGAGGGTGTGGGGGGGAGGTGGGGAGGTGTAGAGGAGAAACAGGCCTGTGACAGAGTAAGTAGGGTAACAGCCTTCAAGCCAGACTTCTAGAAGTACTTCCACATAGAGGCCTTTGAGTTGACTTTGAAGTAGAACCTGTGAGAATTCAAGGCAGAGTGTGAGAGTGGCCTGAGAGCTGTGAGAGGTTGGGGTTATGAACAGGACTAAAGGTGGTGTAGCCATCTTAGACACCCCCCCCCCCCAGCCCAGGCCTTCCCCAGCTTCCTTCCTCTTGTCCCTCCTCTGATGCCTTAGGACACCTGGCTGTTTATGGAAGGGGAAGGAAGCACTTCCTGCTGTGGGAAACCTCCTGAGCTACAGAGAGAGCCCTTAGCTTCCCTCCTATCTCAGCCAGTCCTAGAAGGCTGGCCCTAAACAGGTCAGTCCCACCTCTGCTCAGACCTGCATCCTGCCATGGAGGACAAATGCTTGCCCAGCACCCAGCAGCAATCCAGTCATCTTGAATGTGGCTTGGAGGGAGACAGCAGCTGCCTGCCTGCTCTGGCCGCTCCCTGAGCTTCTTTTATCTGCCCTAGGTCAATGTCGCTCCAGGGCCTGATGATGAAGCGGACCTTGCTATGCTGGCCCCTGTCTTGCCTCTTCGTGGTGAGTTGGAAAAGGGCCCCAGAGAAGCTAGAATAGGTAGAATCTGAAATGCACCCCAGCACTCCAGAGAAGGAGGTGTAGACACTGCTCAGGAAGCTCAGGCTCTGGCAGACTTAACACTTAATTTTTTCTTGGAAGATCTGATGAAGATCTGCCTGCTGTGCAGTCGTGACCCTGTAGAGACAGACACACTCTCTCCTACTCACCTCAGCCAGGGTTATAGCTTTCCCAAGCAATTCCCGCATGAGCTGAAGGTATTTCCTAATGTTTAGTGTTTGCAGGCATCGTTGATGGCAAGGTGCTTGCCTCAGGCAAGGTGTGGGGCAGAGCCAGGAGAGGTTCTGGAAGAAATTGAGTACCTTAGTACTTCATACTGGCTGTAGGGTCTGTATTAGTTTAGGGAAGCTCAGATTCTGGGGCTGGACTCAGAGCCCTTGGGGTCTGTCTGGTCTTTTCTGCTGTGGCTCTGAAAGCTCAGGGATAGCAGGCTGAGGTCTCCAGGAAGCAGCCTCTAGCCTTAGCACGTGCTGGTAGCCAGGCCTGACATTGTCTTCAGGGTAGCTGACCCTGCTTCATGCCTGGTGCCCCCTAGCCCTAGCAGCTGGGGCCAAGTTGGAGGACAGGGTCTTACCACAGCACGAGTTGGGCAGGTAGTCCATTCGTTTGAGTAGGGAACAGAGTGAGGTCAGCAGAGAGGGGATGGTAACCCATATCTAAAACAGCCTTCCTTTGGAACATGGCATGCCCTGTTTAGGTGCAGGGTATGAATGGGATGGCCTTGGCACAGGGGGAGGTCACAGAGGAGGATGTGGTCTCAGACTGAGCCCGGGCCCAGAATAGTAAGTAAGCACCAGCTGCAGACTTGGCTGTAGGCATGATAAACAGAGGGTAGTTAATGACATGCCCAGCTTGGGGTAGGGGGGTGTGCAGCAGGAAGGGAGACAATCTCAGAGGAATTCGGAAGCATTTCCTCCTCATCTGTCTGGGGTGAGGAGGTGTAACTCATCTGAAAGACCTATAATTCAGAGGCTCGAGGGCTTGAGGTCCTGGTCCTGTCTGGGGCTTTCCAGTACTTTCCAGAAGCAGACATAATTCCCTCTCTCTGCCTAGACACTGGCAGTGCAGTAACGGCTGAGGTCAGCTCTCAGGGTGCCCTGCAGCTGAGCAGGGAGCCCGTGTGGTCTGCGCTTCACGCTCTGTTCAGGGTGTAGGGAGCCAGCAGATGACCCTGCAGCCTCGTGCCTAACCCTTTCTTCTGTCACCTTCTCTCCTATGTCCCACCTGCATTCTTCCAGCTGCTGCCCTGGCCTCTGGCCACTCCAACATCAATAACTCCTTGGCTGTGTCCTCCCGGCAAGGAGCCTGACCTGGTGAGCGATGTGCTGCCCTGTCCTGGGAAGACTCACTCCTGAGGCAGAGGGAGGCCTCAGCTTCGATGCCCAGGGGCCTTAGGTCTGGCTCCTGGCCCTGTAATCTTTTTCCTCTCCCACAGGACCCAGGGCAAGGCACATTATGCCGAACCTGCCCGTCAGGCACCTTCTCAGCCTCATGGGACTCCCATCCATGCCAGCCTCATTCTCGCTGCAGCCTTCGAAAGAGGTTGGAGGTCCAGGCTGGCACAGCAACTCACAATACGGTGTGTGGAGACTGCCAGCCTGGGTAAGCACAGGGTGAGGGTGGGGCTCACGATGGGCTCTCGGCCCACCCTGATGAGCCTCTCTTCCTGCCTATGACATGGATGGGTGGCACCATTGAGGGCACTTGGTAGAAAGGAATCCAGCATTTCCAAGGACATCTTCCCTCTCTGCAGGTGGTTTGGGCCTCGGGGAGTTCCTCATGTTCTTTGTCAGCCATGCTCCAAGGCACCTCCAAGGACTGGTAGCTGTGACGGTGAGTGGTACATGGTGGGGTAGGAAAGGGGGTCAGTGAATTTGAGCCTAGGAATCCCTGCAACATCCATATAGGGACAGGAGGGTCCTTCCCAGCCCATAGGAGAGCAGGCAGCCAGAAGGTGTCTAGTAACATGGTCTGCCACCCTGCCTTTGAGTGATTGAAACCATCCAGCATCTGGCAGCTGCCATTAGGGTTGCAGGTTCATATTCTATATGGTCCTCTGTCCCCATTCTCTCCATAAGAGCCCTACAGATGCATGTGAGCATGCACATGTACCCATACCTGTGGACACATGACTTCTCACCACAGAGCTACTAATTATGTGCCATTGCAAGGAGGAACCCTGTGTCCCCTTGTCTAGGAGTGTGCCGCATGATTGTATCTGCTCACTCCATGTGAGCATGAGGGGCAGATGTAGGTTGAGCCCCAAGGAAGCCTCACTGGGTAATTGATTAGGCGATCAAGGAAGACAGACGTGAGCTGGCTTTTGTCTCCCTGGTGTGGTAGGATGGACTGTCTTAGGGATATCAGTTTTCCCCTAGCTCTGTGCTCAGGTCCTTGGGCTTGCTGCCATCACTCCTGCTCCTAGCCTCCTATCCTGACCTACCCAGGGCTCCCAAGGCTAGGCCAAGGCAGGACATAGGGAGAGATTACCATGTGTCTGTGTAGTGAAGTGGGCAGACACAGCAGGTCAGGTGGAGACTGAGGAGGGACAGCTCCAGCCTAGCAACTTCTTTATGTGTTTCTCTCTGCTGCCTTGTTTCCATTCTCTGTGGTGTTCAGAGTCTGGGCGGCGGGCCCGGCGTGGTGTGGAAGTGGCAGCAGGTCCCAGTAGCAGTGGTGAGCCTCGGCAGTCTGGGAATGGCACCCGGGCAGGCGGCCCTGAGGAGACAGCTGCCCAGTATGCGGTGATTGCCATCGTACCTGTCTTTTGCCTCATGGGGCTTCTGGGCATTCTGGTGTGCAACCTGCTCAAGCGGAAGGGCTACCACTGCACGGCCCACAAGGAAGTTGGGCCCAGTCCTGGAGGAGGAGGCAGTGGTAAGACCTGACTAGGTCCAGGTGGGAGGCCAGGGGCTTTGGAAGGGATCTTCTTGGCCTATGGTCTGACAGGAGAGGCCTCCTGGAGGGGTCATGCAGCAGCTTTGACGGCCACAGTGCAGACTGACATGGGCTGAGCTATGGTAACAGGCAGAGGTAAAGTCGTAAACTGTCAAGTGGCATTGGTGAGATTTCTGCCCTGGCTGAGGCCCTGCTCCACTGTAGGGTTGGAACTCTACAGGGGCAGCAGGCTCCAGTTGTCTGGTTCAGAGTGACCTCTGGCCTCTAGTCTAGAGCAGGAGAATGCCCTGCATCAGGAGGGCTGGCAGGGCCTATCCTGGCAGGCACTATGCAGGGCTCAGGTTTCGGCTCCACTGTGGTTTGAGATACAAGTACTGGAACCAGAGGGAGAAGGCCTGGGCTTTGGACGGGTCGCTTCTTTTGTTGACCAATGCCTCCTGAAGTGTAGAGACCTTGTGGGCAAATGCACTTCTCTGGGCCCTCAGGAGCCTTCTGACCAAGTCAGCAGAGGCTTAACCTCTCCCATGCCAGCTTTTCAGAGCCCCTTCCAGCTCCCAACTCTGAGTTATGGAGGGAGTGGGCAGGAAGGTGTCAAGTCAGGGCCATTTTTAAATTGTTGGAATGTTTTATTTTTAATTATGTGTGTGTGCGTGTGCGTGCGTGTGTTCTGCCTGCATGTGTATGTGTATACATGCAGCAGGTGTGTGCCTGGTGTTTAGGGAGGCCAGAAGAGTGTATAAGATCCCCTGGAGCTGGACCAGACAGATTTCAGCCATCACGTGGGCACTGAGAACAGGATCCTGCTCCCGCAATAACGAGTACTCTCACCCATGAGCCATCTCTCCAGCTCCAAGTCAGGGCCATTTTAGTAGGACTGCACTTTTCTGCTAGCCGAGTGACTTTGAATATTGGCTGCTGCCTGGGTACCAATTTTAGAAATATGCTGCTGGTTCAGGACCCATCACAGCAGCCCATTCTCACACACTTGAGGTTTGAGCCTAGAGCTGTAAGTAGTTCCATGGAGAGTGTGGAGTGTAGAGAGGTAATGGGCCTGGAAAGGGGTTGGGAGTTCTGAGCCAGGAGAGCCCATAGCTCCTCAAGGCCAAGAAAGGAACAGTGCCTACCCGGAAGAGCCTGGTGCAGTCTGCAAGGATGGCGTTTTTAGATGGTCCTGAGAACACTGAGCCCTTGGAGTTGCTGGGTGCAAGATAATAACTTTTGAATCTAGGTGAGGCTTATGGCTCTTGTCACCTGAATGCCACAGTGGAGTCTTCCTCAACTCTGAGCAAGGTCTGTGGCGCCCTCTGCCAGCAGATCCTGGTGTAGCTTGGGAGCCCTGAGTCCCTTCTTTCCTAGATCATGGATTCCTTTTCTTTCATCCAGGGATCAATCCTGCCTATAGGACAGAGGATCCCAACGAGGACACCATTGGAGTCCTGGTGCGCCTGATCACAGAGAAGAAAGGTGAAGAGAGGGTCTTTCTGTTTTACCCCATGCCTGGGAGTGGAGGGTCCTCCTGGAGCCTTAGATGATGTCTGGGAAAAGTCTCGTTTGCCTCTGCCCTTGACTGGTGAAGGATGGAGGAAGAGCACATAGTTCAGGCCTGGGACAGGGATGCAGGAGTAGGCAGGGGCTATCTGCTGAGTTGTTGGGTGGGGTGCCTGCTCCTTCACTTTGGAGCTGGGTTCTGACTCCACCTGCCCACAGAGAATGCAGCGGCCCTGGAGGAGCTGTTGAAAGAATATCACAGCAAACAGCTGGTGCAGACAAGCCACAGACCTGTACCCAGGTGAGGGTGTGCCCTGACATAATCAGCTTGCCTCCTGGGGATCCCCACTTGGGTCTTTTCCTTTTCATGTCACCTGTGTCCCTTTACTTGTTGGAGTCTCCCACCCTGGCTTCCCTAGTAACCATTTCTACTCTTCCTGCAGGCTGTTGCCGGCCTCTCCCAGCATGCCACACATCTGCCCACATCGCCACCACCTCCACACTGTGCAGGGTCTGGCCTCACTCTCTGGTTCCTGCTGCTCCCGTTGCAGCCAGAAGAAGTGGCCAGAGGTGCTGCTGTCTCCTGAGGCAGCAGCTGCCACCACTCCTGCTCCCACCCTCCTGCCCAACCCGTCTAGGGCTCCCAAGGCTAGTGCCAAGACAGGACGTCAGGGTGAGATCACCATCTTGTCTGTGGGCAGGTAAGGTGGGCACAGACATAGCAGGGTCTGGGAATAACTTGACAGCCTGGAGACAGGAGGTCCATGGGTCAGCTTAGTTCTCACTATCCTCTCCTGAGCCTCTCTGGATAATATGGGTGGCCAAAAATGCCATTGTTTCCCAGCTATGCTATCTCACATGGATATTGGGTCCCTGAGACATGGTCTTGGTGTTATCATACCCGGGACTTCTTAGGCTAAGGGTCTGCCCACCTCTAACTAGATGTGGGGCTGCTGGGAGCTGGGCACAAACAGCCTTGCCTCTGGGGGGGGGGTCTAGAAAGGGCTCTTGTACAATGTAACAGGCTCAATCTGTGATCTTCAAAGCTGCATGTGACCTAGTAGGTGCCTTCTTTGTCCTAGGCTCCCTCTCTGATGTGGGATGTTGGTACCACCTCTCCCTACAGGTTCCGTGTGGCTCGCATTCCTGAGCAGCGGACCAGTTCATTGTCATCTGAGGTGAAGACTATCACGGAGGCTGGGCCTTCAGGAGGTGATCTTTCTGACTGCCCACAGCCTGGTCTTCCCCCTGAGCAGCGGGCACTGCTGGGTAGTGGCGGAAGCCATACTAAGTGGTTGAAGCCCCCAGCAGAGAACAAAGCTGAGGTGAGAGCTATGGGTAGACTTCCTGTTAGCGCCTGGGTCAACCCTGACAGGACAAAGGCCTGAGTAGGCAGTACAGGGAGCTCTGGGTAGCTGCCATTTTTCTAAAGCCCAAATGGCTTCCTGACTCAGCTCTGTGCCCTCAATCCTGATTCCCCAGGAGAACCGCTATGTGGTCCGGCTAAGTGAGAGCAACCTGGTCATCTGATGGGCTGTCTAGAATTAGACACTCTGCCCTGCCCTGGGAGGTTCTGAAGGCTTCCTGCAGGACAGAGAGCTGCAGCTGGGACTGAGGACCAAGATGCAAAGGCCTAACAGACAAAACAGCGAAGGCCTAGGCCTGGAGGTGGGGCCGTCCGCCCCACTGAGGAGGCAGCCTGCGGCACAGCACGTGAGCAGGAGATCAAGAGCCCACCCCATCCCTGCAGCCCCAGTTACTTCCCTGCAGGGCATCCTAACCCTGTGCCTGTCCTGAACATATCATAGGAGCCCTCTGTCCCCTAGGAGTCTGGTTTGGTGGAGGAGTGGTGACTGTACGTGGTCCCTAGCTTGTGCCTTGAGAACTAACCACTCTTGCCATGTCCTGGACCCTGGACATGCATCCCTCTCTTCTGGCAGGCCCTCGAAAGGGGAGGGGTAGCAAAGAGCCCTGTACTGGTGGCGGAGTACTTGGGTTCCAGCATTTCTGACTGTGAAGTTGGGGGCGGGAGGAGAGTTCAATTCCTAAGACCTTTCCCGTTCATTGCGGGTTCTGGGCTGAGTCCTGTTGGAGGGAGCTTGACGTTGCTACCCTCCCATTAGTAGCTTTATCTGGCCTGTTTTTGCTGCTTCCTGGGCCTTGGCCTTCAAGGCTCCCATGGGACTATTATGGCAATGCCTACAGAAGGGGCTTAATGCATGTGCCTGCCCCTACCCTGCTATTTTTAATGAAACTGAAAAATGACCTGACTTGTACAAGGCTCTGGTACAGAGCCGCAGGCCACCCTGCTGCCTTCAACTCTGGAGCTGCAGAGAGAGGAGGATGGCAGGCTAGAGAGTGCCTCTGGTCTGTGGTTGCCATGCTTCTGTGGTAGTGTCTGCCTGCCTGAGCTTTAGGTAGCAGGGATAACTGCCAATCCAGCCTGTCTTAGTCTCTACTCTGGCTCAGGACCTGGTTATTTATGTGGGCTGCGCAGGCGCAGGGCCCACTGCCCATCCCATTTCTTATTTATTGAAACCTGCTGTTGACTGTCCCTACATCTCCAGCCCCACACACCTGAGTAATAAAAGGTGGAAAATGTTATCTTGAGGCGCTTCCTTTCCCTGTTCCCACCCTGGACACCTCATGCTTCCAGGGGCCTGGCCAGCTGTGCTATGTAGTGCCCTTCCCTTCATCAGCACCTTCCTCTGAAGCCAGGGAGAGGATTCATTTCATTCTCACCAAGGTCCCCAGAGGCCAGGCTTCCCAACAGAAATACAGACTGGGCCATGTGTGTGTGATCGAAAGTGTTGTAATAATCATTCCAAAAAGTTTTTTTTTTAAAGGTAAAGTTAATTTTAATATTTTTAACCCAGTATACCCTGAATGTTTTCATTGCAATATAAAATATTATGAAAATTATGAACAAGCTTTTTTTTTCAGTTTAGAGTCTTATGTATTTTACACATCTTGACATGAATTAGCATATTTTGAGGGCACAGAAGCCATGTGGTGAGTGGCAACAGCCCTACAGTTAGCAGCAGTCATGTAGAAGCTCAGAGTGTGGGAGGGGGATGTGCAAAGGCCAGGCCAACATGTGTGGAGGGCTGGAGGGCCCTCCGCAGCAGTTAGGACGAGGCAAAGCCCTGGTCCTCCTGGTCATGCTGTACAGGAAGGAACACCTGAGCAGGAAGCTGTTGGAGCTGTCTGGGTAACAATGAGGAGACTTCTAGGGCTGACCTACTCAGACTCTTAATGCTTCTAGAGCTCTGGGGTGATGGACCTGGGTGACAGGAATAGCTTACAACCATTTGGGTGGGTATTTACAGCCGACTGGGCAGAGACGGTCCATATTTTAGAAAAAGGTCTCAGGGTAGATCCTAGGGCCTGGCAATAAGAAATTGATCAGGTCCTGGTGGCCAAGGAAGGGTATAGTTTGGGGAAAGTTGGCTGAGAGGTCAGGAAAGCTGTCCTGTGCCTTGGGTGGGGGGAGAGGGGTGGTGGACAGGGCCTTAGTGTGGTTCCTAAGGGGTGTGATGAGAGCCGAGCCAACGCTAGGTAAACCAAGGGGTAACATCCCATACCAAAGCAACCATGGCTGGTGGGGTTTCAAGTTAGGGTTTTGTTAATATATTGCATTATTGTTTAATATGGGAGAGAATACCACATGGTTGTGCGCACCTTTAATCCCAGCACTTGGGAGGCAGAGGCAGGCGAATCTGAGTTTGAGGCCAGCCTGGTCTACAGAGTGAGTTCCTGGACAGCCAGGCTACACAGAGAACCCCAGTCTCTAAAAGGTGAGAGAGAGGGAGAAACACAGTCAACACTACTAGCTGTCCCATAGAGGTGGAGGGACTAGAACCTGATGGAACTTGTGAAGCCTGGCCTAAAGGAGGGATCTGGGTGGCTGTACTGGGACTTCAGAAAGCCTGGCTTCATTGAGGACAGTTTTCTAGGCAGAAACCAAGGTAGGTGACTGGCCTAGCAGTGGCAGGAATGGAGGTGAAAAAAAGAAAAGCCACCTTTGACAGGATGGGCCACCATTCCTGTTTCCCTGTACATCCTTTGGGGACCTGGTCTTCTGTGGAACTTTGTGAACTGGGCATGGACAGTGTCCCTCTGTACTCAATGAAATGGTCCCTATGGCTGTAGGGCACACTTGACATGTGTTTGCTGTATCTTGGGTTTGGCTTCTCAAATTCACCTGTCCCTTCAGCCAGTTGATGCATGCACTCCACTTATCTAGGATTTGGATAACACAGCCCACATGGGTGGGTGGTGTATGAGGATAAGCATGTTTCCTGGAGGGCGAGGCAGGAGGTAGGGCCCAACCATCCTCTGGGAAGCTTAGATTAAAGACACATTCAGATACCAGTCAGGGTGGAAATAGCATGCTTAGGCTTCCAGGCTGGTAAGGACACTCCTATCACCATGAGCAGGATTCCACCCTGCTCCTGCTTGCTGAAAGAATGGCTTGTTTCTTCATTTGCTTCTTGTGTCACACAATTTCCCAACATCAGGACAAAGTGGTGAGAGCTGACACAGATGTGTGACATTCTTGGTTTCCACAGCCCCACCTCTCTTGGAAACTTTACTACAAATCCCTGCAGCCCTATCATCAGGTAGAGGTGGTAGCTGAAGGGAAGAATAGGCATGGGGTCCAACCTCTAGCTTTCTTCCCTCTCCTACACAAAAATAGCCTTGTGTGTGACCTAGAGATGAGCCTAAGATGTTCCACCCTATCCCAGATAAGGTGCCCTCTCCTCCCTTCACCAGGCCCACGACAGGTCATGGACAGAATGGAAGGCTGGGAAGGAATCAGGAGACAGTGATGCTCAGAGGGAGGTGTACCAATTTCCAGTTCACACTCTAGCATGGGCCAACGTGTGTCCACTGGCCTAGTGAGCCTATCCCAACCCCATGGAGGGCTTTATTGGTCCTTGCAGCATTGTGGTGGAACTCAGGGCCTTCCCCAAGCTAGGCAAGCCCTGTCTCCTGTCTTGGTGCTGCACATCCAGCCCTTGGAAAGTCTTCAAACATTGCCTTCTGTGATGTAAGTAAGGCGGCAGACACCCAGCCTTGTGGAGTGATCACTTTTGGCTAGCTTTTCCTATCATTGAACATACTGAGTCTTTGGCCTTTTAGTTGTAGAACTGTCAAGGGCAGGCCCTGAGAAAGAAAAGTGGGTGTGTGGTTGTGGCTTGAATGAGAATGGCCCCATATGGCTCCTTTATTTGAATCCTTGGTTCCCAGTTAGTGCAAGTGTTTGAGGAGGATTAGGAGGTAAGGCTTTGTTGGAGGAAATGTCTCTGGGAGCAGGCTTTGAGGTTACAAAAGCCCATGCCATTCCTAGGTAGTTCCTATGTGTTCTTTCCTTCTATCTGCCCACTTTCTACCTTTGGACAAAGATGTGAGACTTCAACTACTGTTCCAGCTCCATGCTCCCCACCATGATGGTCATGGACTCACCCTCTGAAACTTGTGTAAGTTGCTTTGGTCACAGCAGGAAAGTAACTTAAAACAAAGCCTGAGCAGCATTAGCAGCAGCGTCACCCTGACGGGATAGGAAATTCAAATGTACAGGAGAAAATAAAGAGTCCTTAATGACTGCTTGTATGAGGCTCTGTGGACACCAGTGACCCTGCAATAAGCCCCCAAGCTCCCCTTGGTTTCCTAACATGCCTTCACTGCTTTGAGAGAAGACCCCATCCTTTAAGAAACTAACTCCAGGATGAAGAGACGTGTTAGAGGTTAAGAGCATGGCCTGCTCTTCCAGAGGTCCTGAGTTCAATACCCAGTAACTTTACATGGTGGCTCACAACCATCTGTAATGAGATCTGGTGCCCTCTTCTGCAGGTCTGGTGCCCTCTTCTGCAGGCATACATTCAGGCAGAACACCATAATAAATAAATAAATAAATCTTAAGGGGGAAAAAAAAAATCCACCTCCGAGATGGGCAGAACATGTACCTGTATTCTGGAGCCAGACCAAGTATGAATTCCAACTTTACCATAACTGCTCTCCCAGCCCCTTCCTACATGACAAATAGCAGAGCTCCTCTTGCAGCAAAACAGGAGGACCTCAAAGATAAGTGGAAGTGAGCAGCAAGCATCAGCCACGAGACACTCAACAAAGGCAGGGTTTTTGTTACTTGTTTTCTATCTTTTTTATGCTGTAGGGTCTCTCCCACACAAGCACACTACCACTGAGCAATACTCCAGCCTACATGTCAGCTCTTCAACAGCTTCCCTGGGTTTCCATCACATTATCTGGTCCAGGTGCCGAACCTGATATTCCACAGCTTCCATACACTCACTGCCTGATCCCACAGTCCTGAGAAGACAAGTAGCACAGCGTTGCTTGCTTTCTTTTTTAAGACAGTCTTTCTCTTGTGTGTGTATGAATTTTACATGTATGCATGCCTGCATGCAAGTATACCAAGTGTGTGCCTGGTGCCCCAGGGCCACAAGGTGGCTTGGGTTCCTCTGGAACAAGGATGGTTGTAAGCCACTGTGCTATAGGTCTTTGGAACCCAAACCATGGACCTTTTGAGAGCAGCCAGTGTTCTAACCACTGAACATCTCCCCAGGATTTGAGACAGAGCCTCCATGTTGCAGTCCTACTTTAGTCTCCAAAGCACGAATTCCAGGTGTGTACTAAGAACAGGTAAAAGGCATCTTAGAATTGCTTGGCCCGAGGTGGTCTGTGCCTCCCTCACCCAAGAACCACTTTTTGTTGATTTTTTTTGGAAACTTTTTTTAATAGTTGTTGAATGTTCTACAGCTTACAGTAAATATCATATAGTTACAAACTCTTGGCTTCAACCTTTCAGAATGATCACTATCTGATCTTCAAAACAAAACAAAACCCAAAGGAATCCAAAACAACAAAGCCAGATTTACACTTCATACACACAAGTGTGGCCACAGGGCTTTCCAATCTTTACACTCCAGACTGTGTTTTGAAAACACCTATAAATTATCAAACTACTTGGAAGACACTGGTCAAAGGTTTATTATTGTAATTATTATTATTTTTCAATGTTTTTATTTGTTTTTAAAATGTGAGTTCCAATAAAATTTAAAAATTAGATTCCAACCTGTAGGTTAAAATGAATTAAAAAATACAAAATCATACACAACGCTCTCTTCACAGGGATGATACATGCCATGAGAACAAGCTTCTCTGTCATGTGATATGAAAGAGGGATGCAGATGCCTTGAAGACAGGAAGGGGACAGGCCCTGGGCCTTCAAAGATCAAAGACAAGTCCAAGGTGCAGGAGGCCTGGCCTTGCCTCACCTTGTAAGGAGCATGGTTCACAAGACAGATCCAGTCGATCTGGCTGACCTGAGGTGTCTGGGCCAGTCCTACTCTTTACTTAGTCTGACTTTCATGCATGAGGAGGATGGCTGGAGCCAGGATGGCTGAGCTGGGGTCAAGGATAGAGGATGCTAGGGTTAAGCTCAAAGCAGGTTTCACTTCTTTTGATTCCTGTGGGCTGCTGCTATCTGTAAAGCTGTTTTATCTGTTCTCTTGGGAAAGAAAACTGTCCCTCAGGCTGGAATGGATAAAGGGACACATTGCTACAGCAAGGATACCTAAGGACTACTGATATAGCTGCCACAATGAAGCAGGTGTGTTATGTCCCTCCTTGGCTCTGTGGCAACCAGTTCCAAATCCTGTTCTTGGCTGGCACCATCAGTTTATAAATTAGGAAATACCCACAGGAGAAACTGAGGGAGTAGGACCCAAGTCTGGCTCAGGCAAGTCTAGCCATGGAATGTCGAAGCTGGCCTACTAGGAATGTGAAAGGCTGAGTTGTGGAACCACATAACACCACATTTCACTAGTGCTTTTCCTCAGAGGGGGAGCAGGGGAAGGAAAGGACAAGCCTTCTACCAGCCTGGAATATCCACAGAGAAGTCTATCCAGAGCTCAGACAAATGACCAGCGAACCTGGCTGAGTTTCTTCCACTGATTTGCTCCTCTTTGTCTACTCCTACCCTAACTGCCCTCCTCTAGACTCCCAAGCCTTACCAGACACTGGGGGCTGCACACTCAGCAGTGAAATGGTTAACACAAGATGGAAAGGCAGAGCTTGCTGAACATGAGTCAACACATGGGATGACTGATCCAGCCAGAATGATGTGAAGACCACAGAGCCCATAGCAGGGCAAGATATCTGATACACAGGGAACTAAGCCAGGTCCAGCCAGTGCCTTATTTGATGTGTCATGTCGGCAATAAGGATGCCAGAATTGGTGACCAAGGGACTTGTCCTATTTTATGCTCCCCATGACTCATTTCTGAAGGCTATTCAGGACAGAGCATCAAGCTTTCCAAAGAAACCTCTAGTTCTTAAACATGGAACCATCTAGATGGCCAGAAAGCACTGGGATGCAGAGCCTAAGCAGTCTCTCTAGGACCTGGTTCTCACTGATGAACAAGCAAGCCTGAGACTCCAGTCCAGATGTGCTTTCAGGAGTTCAGGCTTATGCCATGTTCCTTGAAGTGCCTTGCTGGATCTAGATAGGAGTCAGAGAGCCAGTGTGTGCAGGCTTCCCAGAAGCAAGATTCTGCTCAAAGATGCCTGGCACTGACCTTAGTTATCTTCAGTACTGGGCAGTGTCACCTTCGGTGTTCTGAGTTAGGTCTTTTGTGGCAACTTCTCAGGTGGATCTACCTCTGGGTCCCCAGGGTCCATTATAAGTCTTAGCTGAAAGCAGAAATTCTCAAAAATCTGCTCAGCTGATAAGACAGGAGTTCCCCCCAAGTCTCCATAAATTTTTCCTCTGTGTGGGATAGCCCTTTCCTTCTCCAGATAAACTTACACTCAAGAGAGCCAGCAGGAAGAATAGATAATCAGGAGTTAAAATCTTGGCTCTTTCACTCTTGAGCTGTGTCCTTTGGCAAGTCTCTTACCCTTCAGAGCATCATGACTCCCACCCCATCTTTAAAGTCGAGGGTTTGGCAATCAGTGTCAAAGTATTTTACATACAAAAAGAGGTCTGGACAGATAGATGTGTGTGTCCCCGATGAATATTCAGGGAAGGGGATATGCACTTGAGAGTTGTCAGGACAAGAAGAAAAAGGTGTTCCATCTCAAGGAAGAAAAACGGGTGTGTGTGTGTGTGTGTGTGTGTGTGTGTGTGTGTGTGTGTGTGTAAAGCATGGTAAGAGACTTTCAGGCTTTCACTCACTGTGGGTAGTCCAGTTTCCAGACCCAAACTTCCTGGCCCAGAGCTGATAAAGATGGCCAAAAGGTGCAAAGGGAGGCTGGTGAACAGAGCCACCTCTACCTCAGCTTTGCACTGGGGAGAGGTGTGTATGTGGTGATGCCCGTGTGGCAGCTCATGGTGTCATGTGCACATCCCTTGTTCTACGGTGAGGGGTCCCTTTCCAGCTCCTAGCCTCATCTATTTTGACCACTCTGCCATACAGAACCTCTAGATGATACCTAGGGTACTCTTGCTAGGGACTTATGACCCTGCTAGAGCTGTGTTCACCTAACTAGAGGCACACACACACTGTGCTCTGGGGCTCAGCCCCTTTGCCATGATTCCCCAAGCTTGGACAGTCTTGTGGATATCTGTCAAATAAAATGGCGAGGTCAGCTGAACTGGGGTTCTTGTATTCTTACAGAGAAAGGTTAATGGTTTTGGTTCCTCTAGATTACAGAATGTCAATACTTGATTTTCACCTTGGGGCCTTTCTAGCTTGAATCACAGACTGTGTCTAAGATGGGTACAGAGCATACATAGATGCTTTGGAACATGAAGCTGTGTGTGGAGCAGGCTTGGAGAGACTAGAGCCAGGAGGCGGTTCCTTACCAGAAAATCCCTGTACTTTTCTAAGCCGTGGGTTCTTTATGAATTAAATAGCAGGCACCAGGCCTTTATCTCGGGGATAAACCACATGAACTGTGAGGGGTACAAACAGCATTTACATTCTGGTGTGGAAAGAACAAACGTTAAGAGGTCATTCATTCCTAGGTCTCTTTTTTTTCTTCTTCTATCAGGTCACCTGAAGGCCACAGGGTCTAGGAAGCCTGCCAGGATTCCAGCATACAGCTCACCTTGGGCCATTTCATTTCCTTCTAGAATCTGTTTCCACATTTGTCAAAGGGTGGAATACCTGACCCTGCTGCTTGCTCTCAGGGCCAGTCCATCCAAAGCCGTGAAGTGCGCTGACATCTACGAAGCACCTGACACGTGCAAAGGTATCCTATAATTATTACCGCCATTATGATTTTGGCATTTTTCAAACATATAAGACATAATCTATAGCAACCTTCATCCACCTCTACGAAACCAAAGAGGGTAGGAGGAGGCATTGTAAAAAGCAGACCAACACTGGAAAACTTCGTCAGCATCCCAGAGCAGCTGAGTTTTCTCTTTCTAGTCCTGATGTTCCTGGAAGGCCAGGAAGGTAGGAGCCCTAACTTCTGACTCTCTGACACAGATACTGATGGACTCTGACCTCCTGGGAACAGTTAGACTGTTTCTGAGGTCACTCTAGCTCAAGGGCTTCCATTTCTTTCTTCCTTTAGGGGAACATGGGAAATTGGAGGAAGGTGGTGTTCAAGTTCACATGAATTTAAAATGAAAACGGTTCGAGTCTCAAATGTTACCAGTGATCCAATTTTACACAGTAAGGTATTCCTTTTCCACCCAGTGAGGCTATTGGCTCTGCTAACTGGGCACAGGAAGGTAGCTGGCTGAGACTAGGAAGGACTTCCTTCTCCCAGATGTGCTTGGCCTCATCCTTGTCCTCCTTTGTTGGCGGTGCCCATTCCTCCTCTCTTCTTGGGATAAAGGGCTGCTCCTAAGTGCATAGCCTCTTCCAGCCAGCCCACCTGCTCCTTTTCCTAGAGGTGGAGTCAGGTACAGGATAAACATTCCAGATGTCTTCACAGGCTTTTCAAATGCATTTCTGTTACTGTTATCTGCCCTAGGTGGCCTCGACCTAGTCTTCAACCCCCACCTTTGGAGTCCGTGAGGGAAAACAGCAGAAAGCAGCCAAAAGGTCATTCCAGAGCTCACCAGATGTGGGCGCTGCTGACTTAATTTTTACAAAGCCAAGCCAATCCATCCCTTGCTAAATTTTCGTAGGCAAAATGCCAGTAGGTAGGAAGGCTGCATTTAATGCTAATTTACTATGAGGTTCAGAGAAGTCCTTTCTGCTTCCCTGAGCCCCAGTTTCCTCATCTATCGAATAGGGGAATGGATGAGATGATGAATGCTAAGGTCCCTTCAGTTCCATGAGTATGAAATGATTATTGCTATTGTTTTTCCTTCACTATCCTGACCTTCAGAACCGCCAGCTCCCACCTGGAATGTGGTTCCTTCACTTTGGCCGTGAAATGGCACAAGGTAACCAAGAGCTTGGCCTGCCTGCCAGCCTCACAGACAGATGTGCGCCCCGGCACTGGGAAGGGCAGAAGGGCAAGAGAGAAATGCCACTCGTTCCACTTCTGAGCAGGAAGCGCCTCAGAGTGGGTCCACGAGGCTCGGGCTGAGGGTGGGATTAAGCAGGCACCTGGCCTTCTGAACCCTCTGGATGCTGGGATCCCCCCACCATGCAACTGTTTGGCAGGTCTGAGGTCAAAGCATCTCTGGAGGAAGTGCCAGGTCAGTTAACATCACTGTGCAAATCACAAGGTCCAGGCCCAGCAACATGGCCAGAGACCTTTCAAACCAGAGCTGAGTACCCTCTTGCCCTTTCTTCATACTACTCCCCCAGTTCCCTCCCTCCACCCTTCCCCAAATTCTCTGCTTTCCCAGGTTCTGAGCCTGGGGACATGAAGCTGCTGATAACATTCCTACATAACCAGGTGGTTGCTCTGGTCTGTTGCGATGGTTCTCAGAAGATATTTCTTTGTATTTGAACTAATCTTGCTTTAGCAAAATGACAATCTGACAGAGATGTGGCCTCCTCAATAGCTCCAAGTTCCTACCCCAGACCTGAGGGCCACATCTGTTAAGCTTTCCAAATGAAATCTAGCCTTTAGATGAACCATTGCAATAAACCTCACTCTCTGCTTGCTACTAGACTGGGATCCCAGGGACAGGATGCTTAGGGAAGGAAAGAAGTGCAGAGAGGCCTGGGCCTGATCAGGTAGGAAGAGGGGCTAGAGCCAGAAGGGCAGTGGCTAAGAGGGAGGCACAAGGGGGGAGGCTTCTAGGAGATTAGAAAAAGCAGCTTTTACAAAAACCAAAAATAAAAATCAAAACCATTAAAGATGCATAAAGTGACCCTTGCACTTCCGTTGTCTCTTCTTGCAAATAGAGGTGGTGCTGCTAGGGACTGCTCCAGCACCGGTGTAAGACTTGAGTAGTTGCATACAATGTGACTCCAGATCTGGGGGAGGAAGGGACACTATCAGAGAGACATCCACAGGCCACTTGAGAAATCTCTGGACCCCCTTCCCCCAGCTTAGGAGACCCAAAGAAGTCCTCCATGCCTTCCCAGGGAAGCAGCACAGGCTCTGTCCATGCAAATTATGTTGAGCTACTGGGGACAGCAAGGGGGCTGGGGTCAGCATCTCTACTTGGCTATAATCAGAGCTGGTATATGGCTTAGGCAAGACTTTATTTGAAGAACTGAGCCTCTAGTTAAAAGACATCTGAAGAGCATAGAGCACACAGAATTCAGTAACAAAGGACAAGAGTTAAAGTCCCATTTCAACTTTAATTGGCTAAGTGATTCTGAACTGTGTATTTTTTTTTTTTAAAATAGAGCTAAAGATCAGAGCTACTATGAGGATTGTAACATTTGTAAAGCAATAGTTAATATGAAGAGTGACATTAAAGAACTTGGAGCAGGTAACAAGTACCTTCTTTTATGATACCTGTGCTCCAGACTCAGTTCCTGCATGTGTCCCCTCCCTTCTCCCTTATCCCTGGCCCTACTCACTTGGATGGGCTGCAGGCTTTACCAGTGCGGGGGCACATAGCTGTACGCAGGGGTTCCTTGGGCCCTGTATGTGGGCATGGAGACAGGGTGTGCCCCAATTGCAGTGTGCTGGGGTGTGGTCAGCAGTGTACCTGGGCGTCCAGAGAGAAGAGGAAATGTAAGTAACCTTTAACCCATTATCATGGGTAAAGGGATGGAGAGGAGGAAAACAGTCTTTTCCATGACCGTTCTTCCTGTCCATGTCCCTGTTACCCTGGACTGCCTGGTTAGCACCATCCTTTCTCCACCTTACACTCTTTAGGTGAGTGGTCTCTTGGGATGCTGGAAGACAGAATCTTTATTCTTAGGGAATCTCCCTTTTATTTGCATGCTTTTCTTATTGCACACACATTGAGTAGGAACTGTTATCTTTCCTGGTTCTATCATCTACATACACTCACCTAGTGTTTAAGGGCAGGACTCTGTTCTGCCTTAAGGTCCTTTCCTTCCCAGGACCTTAACAATAGGCTGGCACTGAGCAAGTACCTAGTAGCTTGCTTGTGTACTGAAAACCATGCTACCCTCTTCCTTCAGATGGCAACTTAGCTGGTCTTTTAAAACTTGGTTTCTGTAAGGTAGTCACAACCCTCTGATTTTCATGCCCCCCATGGGAGTGCCAATATTCCTAAGGCTATACTTCCCACCTTTATCCCCAGGGTTCCTAAGGGCAGGTCTTAACACCAGAAAGGGTCTTCAGGGACTCCTGTCTCTCTCAGCTCTTACAATTCATTATGGGAACAGTCCTCAAAAAAAAAAAAAAAAAAAAAAAAAAAGTTTTTCTCTGTATTGCTTTGGAGCCTGACCTTGTACTAGCTCTATAGACCAGGCTGGCTTCAAACTCAGAGATCTGCTTGCCTCTGCCTCTGCCTCCCGAGTGCTGGGACTAAAGGCATGTACCAACACCCAGCCGGGAACAGTCCTTATACTCCTGCCTGCTAATTAACAGTGTGCCTATGTATTCTTCCCTGGGGCCCCTGTTGCCACTAGAGGCCTACTGTTAACATCTCTCCTGTAATTTCTCCTGATCCAGCCTATAGCCAGCTCAAGCCCCACCCTGTCTCTCCCCTACTGCAAGCTCTGTTAGCTCCCTCACCCCAAAGCACTCAAGCCTTTCCATAATCCTGTCCTCACCAGTGGTGTCAGCAACCCTTCCACTCTCACCCCCCCCTTCTCCTACATGCCTTAAGCCTCTTCCTATCCTGTGAATGTACCACACTTTGATATCCTTCTGCTTGTACTTCCTTTCCTACTTTCATCTCTCTGCTTGGCCTCCAGTTACCCATTATGCAAGGTTTTGCTCAATATGGCCACCTTGTGTACAATTTCCCTTATCCCTTCAAATAATTTAGACTCTAAATTAGACTCTAAATTTCTGAATTTTAGAGGGTCCTTTCCTTGGCTTCCTGGAAAGCCTCCTGCCCTGGTCATGATTTCTCATGCTGGCTGCAGTCAGTTCCATGACTGTTCTCCAGTGTGAGGAATTCCTGAAAGACAGTGAAGGATGCTTGGGCAGATATTGTGTTTACCTGCTGACATTGCCATGGTGGTGCCTGCCACCATGCCCATGGCGACACCATTGGTCCTGGGAGCAGCAACAGGAGCTGGATAGATGGCAGAGGGAATGCTGTTGGGCTGAACAACTGTGGTGTGGTGGATGACGTGGGGCTGGGCGGCATACACGGGCTGTGTGTAGTAGGCTCCCTGGAAAGAGAGGCTAAGGTCACATGGGTTCCTGGAGAGATTAGGAAGGATGAGGAAAGAGAAGGGGGGGGGGGGGCTGCCTTCCCCAGGCTTTAGGCAACTAGGTAACAGAAGCTCTGGCCTAGGGACACAAGTCTAGGCTGGGGCTCTGCTTTGTCTCACTCTGCAGTTGGGATTAGTTCAGTGCTGTGGCTTAGCTTGGTATGAAAAATAAGGCCCTCTTCACTCCATCTTGCTGTACCCCTAAGGTGGCTTTAAAGAATTCATTAGCCTTCGTTTTAACACTTAAAATTTTTCAAAATTTGATTCCAAGACACTACCATAAATAAGCTGCCCCTAATTTAACAGTAAGGAATACAGTCAGTTTCTTAGCATGAGGACAACAGAGCACTGCCACACAGGCAGAAGCATCATTAATGCCATTCATACACCGGTATGAATGTTGTTGGTTTATTATGTCATTATTGGGCAGCATTTCCCAAGGTGTCTCTGGAAACAGTAATCTGAAGTGACATTCCCTTTTCACATGGGGAACACATGGTTCTTCTTGGGTGCTACATTTCATGGGCCTCTCAAGTTCTGGGAGCAGACAGAAATTCTCTGGGTTTAATAGTAGATAATAAAAGTTTCACTGTACCCTTAGAGGTTAGATAGCACAGGCTAAGATACTATGCCATATTTGAGGAAAATTGATCCAAGTCTCCTGTTTTTCTATTTACTTACTAAGTTATCTATTTATTTTCCAGGCAGACTGGTCTTGAACTCACTATGTAGCTGAGGATGACCTTGAACTTCTTCCCAATACCGGGATTAAAGGCACATGTTGTCATGCCACAGTTTAGTAGTATACTCGGCAACATTGCTAGTTTAAAAAAAATGTTTTCTATTAGTTGTCTAAATATATATAAATGTGTGTGATTGCCTGCATGTATGTCTATGTGCCACTTGCATGGAGGCCAGAAGGGGACATTATATCCCTTGAAACTGAAGTTACAGGTGGCTGTGAGCTGCCTGTCATGTGGGTGCTGTGCTGGAAATCAAACCCAGGTCCTCTGCAAGAACAGCAAGTGTTCTTAAACCACCAAACCATCATTCCAGCACCAGCATAGCTAGGTAGGTGTGTGTGTGTCCCGAGACAGGTTTTCTCTATGTAGTCCTGGCTGCCCTGGAACTCCATCTGTAGACCAGGCTGGCCTTGAACTTAACAGACTGGCCTTCCTCTTCCTTTTGAGTGTTGGGATTAAAGGCATTTGCCATCACTGCCTGACAACAAAGTTGGATTTTAAACTCCAAAACTTTTCTTACCACTTACACCTCATGTAGATTGTCACGTGAGAAGAATGTGTGTGCCATGGCCATGCTGGAGCCTCAAACAGTTCTTTCCTCTTGCCTCCCATCAGCTACACACATTTTCCAGCAGAAGAAATCCAAATGGGGTCAATAAGGCACACTAAAGAATCATTTGCTTGAGGTCACAGTGAGCATTGGTAGTACACACTGGAGATATAGATATGTATTTTCTTTCCTACTTGGCCCATAGATTTTATCAAGGGAGGTGTGAGATTAAAAGAGGGGAGGTCAAGACAAGTGGTAGCACAGCCTGATCCAGTCAAGACCTCACTGTGTGACCTGAGACAAGCCTTTCTCCTCTGCAGTATCAGCTTCTTTATTTGTTCAACAAAGAAGTTGAGCTAGATGATTTCTAATGATACTCCGACATTTGGGGCTCTATTAACCTAAATGACTTCATGTTTCACCCTTGGGAAGTGAGGCAGAAAAGGCAGTCTTGCAGGAATATTCCTTCAGTGACACTACACTGATAACAGCTGGCCAGACCCATGAACTCTCTTTTCTCTTCCTCATCCCATGCCACCCCATCCTTGCTGGAAGCTCCTGCAGAAGAGGTCCTCCATATGTACCTACCTGGGCATACAGATTCTGCTGGGGGTAGGCACTTCTGATTGGATACATGGCCGTCTGATAGGGGTTGGGTGATGGGGAGTAGGGGGGTGGAGCAGTATTACTCTGGGTCGGTGGGACCTTGTATGGTGTCCCTGCAGTATATCCTGTACCAAGGCAATAAAAGAGACCTCTAGTTAGTTGGCAGAACAGTTGCTTGAAGGCAGCAGGTACCCAGTACCAATTCCTCAAACAAGAATGGATTGAATCCAGCTAGAAACACAGGTGAGGTCAGACAAGAGAACAGAGCTCCACCCCAGAGCTGCAGCCCCAGGCAGCTCCCTAAGTCCTGGTGAACAGGGCTGCAAACATGATTTGGGGATTTTTTATTTTTCTGGGTTTCAGGGCTCTCATCCAAAACAGAAGCTAGAACCAAATAGCCTCTCTACTGTGCTCTTTCAGCTGACAGACAACCTGGGGTTCTGAGTTGCCTGTGTGAAAAGGCAGGTATGTACTGACAGATGCCCCTTAGCCCACTTACTTCTTTTTGCTATTTTCTCATTCTGGTTCCTCACTTAGCATCTCAGGATATCTTCTGTTGCTGATTCTCTCTCTGTCTTGCTTCCCCCATTCTCTAACTCCTTTGTTTTTGAGTCAGGGTCTCACTATGAAGATCAAGCTGGTCACATATGTGTATCCCCAGTGCTTCATTCTCTTTTTCTGTTCTCATCTCCCACTAATGAGCTTCAACAATCATAGTCCCTTCTCTTTACAAGTTTGAAGGTAAAAATCCCATTCAAAAAACAAAACAAACAAAACCACCATTCAAAGAATGGTATTGAAAACTTTGCTCTGTAGAACCTTCTTTCCTGTGGCTTGGAGAAGTGTCACCTCTGCCTAAACACCTGAAATTAGGAATCAGGAAGAAACATAGTGACCTAGAACCTAGGCTATATCTGTATCTCAGAAGGATGGACAGAAGCAGGGCTCACAAGTCAGGACAGGAATGGGGATGGTGCAGGGTGGAGCAGGCTTTTGTTGAAAGAAAGGAAATGTGGGCTTAGGTCTGGCTTTCTTCCAAACTTGGATAAATAATGCCAAATCTCAGACTTTAGCTTTAGGAGGGGAAAGGAAAAGTTTTTAATAACGATGTAAATGGTGAATTTCTAAGATAGAATATGTAAAAGACTTTACAAATTTGTTTTACTACAGAACGTGTGTGTAAGTGTTTATGTGTGTGTGTACCTGGGGTTTCCCACATACTAGGCATATATTCTACCATTGGACTGACTATATCCCTGGCCCTCTTTTTAATCTTGTTTTGAGATTGGATTTTATTAGATTGCTTAGGCTGGCCTTGAACTCACTTTGTGACTTAGTTTTGCCTCAAACGTTCAATCTTCGTACTCAACCTCCCCCAATAGCTAGGACCATAGGCCTGCACCAACCACCAGGCTGGAAAACCTACTCCTGCAACAGTGGTATTACTATATGACCCTTAAACCTAAAGTATCTATTATTTGGTTCTTTATAGGAAATTTTACTGACCCTTAATTTAAAGGTAAAAAACAAGATGTAATGGTGCTGGTGATGTACCTTCAGTGGCAGAATCTTAGCAAAGGTATGTGTTTGATCTCCGGAATAGCAGATTAAAAAAAAAAAAAAAAAAAAAAAAGGCCAAAATAAAGCTGTGGAGGATCCTGCCACAATTTAGTGTCTTTTCTATACCATGAATCGGAAGCCACCTGTCTCCAAATGCACTATGTACAGACAGGTGGTTACAAGCAGCATGGGACTTGACTAATTGAATGACTGACTGGGCCCATGTAAATTGGCTATTACTTTCTATCTCCCTACATAGAGACAGTAGTAAGCTTCCTCTCCTAGGGCATACTAGCATGGACTGCTCGTAAAAACAAGAGGCAAGAGCTAGACTGTAACGATGGTCTGTTCCAAGTTGGAACACAAACTCTAGGGCTCCAAGATTCTAAAATTTTACAATTCTTTAACAAGCCAACAATACAGGCAGCTTTCTTTTATGTGCCTGGAAAACATGCTCTGGAATTCCTAGCTTTCCCAGGGAAGGTGCACCATCTCATCTAAGCCACAAAGCAACCACATTACAAAGTGGGCTGTCCTTTATAATGTAGACAAAGAGAATCAAAAGGCTCTAGGAGAATGCGGTAGAATTTTGTTTCCACATCTAAGAATAACCTTGTCAGAGAATGTTTCCCCCCTCTTCATATGTTATGAAACAAGACATATTCACTCAGAAAATAAATCAGTATCTAAACAGCCATGGCAGCCAAAGAAAGGCTGTTTAGAGCCTGGTTTATATCTCTAGAAATTTGGGATAGGAAGCAGAACTGCAGAACTGGAGATTGTAGAGTTCTCTAACATGAGAACTTCAGAGATGAGAGATGCTAAGTAGAGAGTGATGCACACAGAGGCACACTGTAACCACAATGCATCTCAACGTTAGCATCAGGGGCAGGAAGATCTTCCTAAGGCTGAAGAAACTATCCAAGCTCAGGCCTTTTTCCTGAGATCCTTTCGAGTCAGCTTCCTGTATCAGGAACATCTTCATTTGGACTAGACCATTTAAGAGGGCATTTTTGATGCTAACATTCTAAGTCCTTAATATTTCAGTAGGACTTCTATGAGGACATCATCTGCAACCTGTCCATACCCCTGGGGAACACTTAAAATCTAGGGTAATTTCCTGGGCTTAGATATCATAAAAGTTAGGGTTTATTATTTTGTATCTAAGTAAAAGAAGCTGCTGGGTTTGTCTCGGGTTCCTAACTAGTTTTAGGCTTTATCAAATGGGAGCACACAAAGAGACTGTGTGCATGAGCAAGATAAAGCTTCTGTAGCCCTCTCTTCAACCCTGCTTCACTGTCATAAATAAATCCTGTTCAGTTGTAGAGCTCCCACTACCTTCAAAGACATTGATCTTCACATCAAGAATGCCTTTTACACTAATTGGTTTATTGATCATCAGATTTATATATGGGGTGGCCTACTCCTTACATCGGGGCAAAGTCTGGACAAAACACTGTAGGTCTGAATCTTGTCTTGACCTCTAAGTCTCCTTGTTGGTGGTGAAACACTTAGGTACCGAATAAGCAGGAGGGTTACCTCGTTATGAACAGGCTTTAACATGTACTGGTTAAATTGGTAAGAACTTGTCAAAGTGCCCTGAATGTACTTTGGTACTAAAATGCCACAAAATCTGAATGCTTGGAACCTGCATGAGTCAGATAATCCCAAATCCATTAAAACAATTACAACCATTTATATATTACTTGCTTGAAAGAGAGTGATGTATTTTGGTCCTATCTAGAAACTTGACAACCTGTATAGGAGGAGGGGAGAGCAGGATGTGACTACCGGACATTTCTGTGGGACTTTTAGAAGATTTCAGCACAGAAGAAGCAAGGCATTCTGACAATCAAACTGCTTAATGTAGGAAGGGCCACCTTTGGAAGAAATGAGCCCATATTCCTAGAGATATGTGAGCAAAGCCTCAAAGGCTAGCTTACTGATGAGGGCAACTAGAGATGGAGGACTTTGTGAGAAGGAAGTAGGTAATAGCTTCAAAGTAAGAGAATCAGGAGTCCAATAGCTAGCTAGGTCTTTACAAGTGACCTAGTCCAAGGCCACCATTTTACAGTTCAAGAGACTAATAACCAAAGCATAGCCATGAATTTTCCAGTTATATAGAATCAAATCTAGGGTCCTCTATCTTCCACACCAGGCCTCTTTCTGCTACACTGTAGTAACTGTGCCTTTATTCACCTACATTCACATTTGTGGAATATGTACATATCAATTTACTTTATACAACTTTAAATATGTTCATTCAATTCTCCTTGAGGAACCTGGAAAAACTCCCAACAGCTGTCATTCCTCTCATTACTCTTTTTGAGACCACGTCTCACTATGTAGCTCAGATTGACCTAAAACTTGCTATGTGGTCTAGGTTGGCTTTGAACTTGTGGTCCTCTTGCTTCAGCCTCCTGAGTGCTGAGATTACAGGTGCTGAGCTACTATACCCACCTCATTTGACTTTTAAAACCAACCTCACAGATTCAGGAATAAAATACTAGTTTGAAAGCTATCTTTGTTCAGCTACGCTGCCATATTAATTATATAGCATTGGGCACACTGCCTTTTTGAACCTTTTGCACTTTCAAAATGGGGTAAAAGTCCACTCAAACTTTCATAGGACTATAATGTTGACTGAACAAGGGGCTGATTTTGAAAGCAGAATCTACAAAATAACATTGGTTTTGTTGTTGTTATTGATTTTTTTTTTTTTTTTCAGAAAAGAGCTTACCATGTATCCTTGGCTGGCCTAAAAATCACTATGTAGACCTGGTTATCCTACCTGGTAATCCTACCACTCTGCCTCCTGAGTGGTAGGATACCGGAATGTGCCACTATACCAGGCTTGACCCTGGATATTTAATTTATTATTTTAAAAGATTTGTTCTTATTTTATCTGTATAAATTTGACTGTGTGTATGTATGTGCCCCATATCTGGGCCTAATAAACAAAGAGGACACTAGGTTACCTGACCTGGAGTTACAGATGGTGGTGAGCTTTCATGTAGGTGTTGGGAAGTGATCCTAGGTCTTCTGGAAGAGCAGTCCATTGCTCTTAACTGCTGAGCTATCTCTCTAGCCCACTGGATATTTTACACTTGATCTCAGCCAAAAAGCTGAGAAGCAATGCCATTAGGTATTTAAAAGAAAACAAATTCAATCAGTTTTCCTAGCCTACCTAGTAAGTTACTTTTCTACAGCATTCTGGCATTCTGCTAAGGGCTTGTTCAGCTCCTGCTGCCATAAATTCAGAAACCAGAACTCATCACATCCAAAGCCAGGCATTTCCATGCCCAACAGCTGCCACAGGCACAAGTTCTTCCATTCAGTAGTTTTGAAACGATGGACCTTATGGGAATCATTTGTGTTACCAATTGGCTGTAAAGGTGATATCAGTTACCTCACAGAGCCTCAGGCTGAACATGACCAATCTGGCTGCTGGCGTCTGTTCGTGCTTACACGAACTAGGGCAGTATTTCTTACAGAGGCCTGTTTTCTTCTTCAGAGGAACACTGAGCCCTGTCTAGAAACATTTCTGGTAGTGACAATGATGCTTTGCTACTGGTATCTAACAGAGAGAAGCCACAGTTGCTACTAAACATCCTATCATGTATAGGAAAGAATTCATCTGTCCCAAATGTCAATAGTGCTAAGGTCAAGAAACCCTGTGGATGGGAAGAGACACACAAAGTCTTCAACTGTGCCTTGATTTTTTCCCCTAAAATGAAGTAACAGTCTTTCACAAATCCAACTTCTGGGCCTGGGATGCTCCTCCCTCGCTGCTATGAGTATCCTAAAGCTGAAGGCATGATCAAAAATGATCATCTTTATTAAATGATAAAGGCCAGTTTTTTTTTGTTTGTTTTTTGCACAAGTAGGAGAACCTCTTAAAACAGTGTTTACAATAAAAATGTCATTTAAAAAATTCCCTTTCCTTTTTTCTTAATGAACAAATCTGCCCCGACTGAGGGGAAGGAGGAGGAGAGGAAGAGACAGGCTGTATTTACTGAAAGCTGCAGAGGATGCTTGGTAAGTTCTGTTCTCGGTCCCGGTGTCCACTGGAAGGTGGAAGGTGCCTTCAGTGCCACAGGAAGATGAGTTCTGTGGCCAGGCCTGTTTCATCAGCAGAGTGGCTTAAGAGAAGACACAAGAGTGGCATTAGGCAGAAGTAAGACATGGGAACACCAATTACAAACACAGAAGCAAGGGTCTTGTGCTAGACAGAAACATAACTCAAGGAGCTTGCTCAGACACACAGAATGATTCAGCCTTTTTGAGATGGGATAGTGGGTTGGAAGGAGTGCTGAAGTGAACTTCCAAATGACTTAAATCCAAGGAAGACCACACTTAAATACTGACAGTCAGGATTTTTCTGCCTAAGACTAAAAAACCATGAGAATGCCCATGAACATCACCATCTTCCACCTGACCTTTTGATCTAAGACTGTGGTATATTCTTCTACCACTTTCTCATTAACATGAAGTAACTTGGATTTTTTTTTTTTAAGATTTTATTTATTAGGTATACAATGTTCTACTTGCATATACACCTGCATGTCAGAAGAGGGAAGAGGGCACCAGATTTCATTATAGATGGTTGTGAGCTACCATGTGGTTGCTAGGAATTGAACTCGTGACCTCTGGAAGAGCAGTCAGTGCTCTTAACCTCTGAGCCATTTTTCCAGCCCATAACTCGGAATTCTTTAACAGTCTCTTGGGCTAGATTAACTGAGTCTTTAAAACTTCCCTTTGGTCTGAAATCTTATCTGGAGGTATGGTTAATAAATTGTAAATTTGTACCGGGTGTGGCAGTGCATTCCTTTAATCCCAGCACTTGGGAGGCAGAGGGAGGCAGATCTCTGTGAGGTCAGCCTGGGCTACAAAGAGAAATTCTGTCTTGGAAAACCAAAACCAAAACCAAATGGAAAAAAAGTTGTGAGTTGCTTCCAAAGAGAAATTAACAAGTAACTATTATTTTATGTGAGCCTTGCTGGAACAGCATCTCCTCTAACAGACTGAGCTGTGGCCATGGCAGCCTAAAAGGCCGGGGCTCTGTAGCTGTACTATTAGCTATACAATGGGGCACTCCTTGCCAACTCCTGCTGCAAATGTCTGAAAAGCTCCCAATAGGTGCTACTGGATGCTCCACTGAGACAGCAAGCACCTCATAAGTCAGAGATGATCCTTCAGCCACTATTAAAGTATCAAAATTGGGGTGGGTATATTACAGAAATTAGTTTGAAATCTGTAGAGACTTTCCAGGACAGCTCAAAGCTCAACTTGAGAAATTTCATTAAGCATTCTAGAAGTGGGGAATGACTTAAAAAACTTACCGTCATGGTATCCTGAGGGAAAGGAGAGAGAGGAAATGGGGGTGGGGGGCAGGAAGGAGAAAATGCCTTAAAAAAAAAAAAAGGAGAAACAAAAAAAGAAAGGAAACTATCCTTTCAAAATACCAGAGGAGACACATTTTTGATCCAAATTTCTATTTTACAGTTTAAAAAAAGGATGATTTTTTTTTCTTTATAACATCTTTTACATTCTATTAAGACCTTGGGAGTCTTGGGCACAGTGTTTTAAAGTGTATTAACAGAAGTGGGGCTGGACTGGCAACAATCAGATGAACTTGAAATATAGGTAAGGGTAAGGAAAGACAGGGAAGCATAAGAAGAAAGGTGTGTTGGTCATATTGATGCTATCGCCACAGAGATTCTACAATGGCTTTGTTTCCTGGTTTACAACTCTGTTCCCTCATCACAGAATTATAATGGGTAGAGAGAGAAGGCTGTGGATTCTGCTGTTTTTTCTGAACTAGAATCAGAATGTAGATGCTTAGGCTGCCTCTGCTTGCACTAATGGCCCGCAACATATACAGCAAATGCTGAGGAATGAGAAAGAAATCATGGGCAGGAAAGTGACACTAAAAGGAGAATCTGGCAAGAGAAATGCAGACAGCACAACTCCATGTAGAGCCCAGGGCCTTTGCTAGACAGCCAGAGTTGCACAGCCCCTGCAGGAGGAGGGAATCTGCCTTAAATAAATATCTTTGGTGTCCTTCTCCAGAGGGTGGAAGGCCCCAATTAAGTGTCAAAAAAATCTTATCACAATGTCTCCAAAATCAGGAACTGACATTCCATATGGCTGGAAGTCCACAACCATCCCCAAACAACTCCCTGCTATGTCAAACATGTAGCACTAAGAAGCCAAATAGAGCAATTCCATGCCCTAAGATCTCAGTGAGGCTCTACCAAGGACCAAGAGGTCTAAATTTGGCCATAAGAATTTGGAAAATTTAGAGGTCCTGATTTGTTCTATTTTTGTTGTTGTTGTTATTGTTGTTGTTTTCTTCTTCTTCTGAGTGGGGCACACTTATAATTTTCATTATAAGCCAAAAGTCTGACAATTGTATGAAGGACTGTGTGACAACAGAAGTTAAATCAAAATTAGCCACAGAGTACTAAAACCTAACTGCACTCAGCACTGAGGGGGGTGCCACGGTGGACAGGAACACACGTGGGTTACATCACTGCACACAAGGTACTTACGGTCTACTGGGGATGCAACTCAGCCACACATCAACCAGGGAGTGAACAAGACAGCATGTCATAGTAAAATAATGTTGCCCATTACAAAGAAGCAAGTGCCATTGTGTTATTGTCTTTCCTAAATGATCACTTAGGCTAAACTTTACATTTTCCAAATAAAAGGGAAGATTCTTCTGGTTTTATTATATATAGAAAATGAACAGCATTTTTTCCATCTTTTGTTTTTGGGCTTTTTTGTTTGTTTTTTGAGACAGGATTCCTCTGTGTATAGTCCTGGCTGTTCTAGAACTTGATTTGCAGACCAGGCTGGTCTTGAACTCACAGAGATCCACCTGCCTCAGCCCCCTTGGGTGATGGGATTAATGGCATGCACCACCACAACTGGCTGTATCTTTCCTTTATGTTAGAATAGTTAATAATTTAAACAATTAGATAAATGTGAAAACTAAATGAAAATGAAATTTTAGCAGTCAACTTAACCTCTTCATTAACTGTATGATTGGTTCTGTCTCTCTGTTCAACTGTACATTAATCCTTTCTGATGGTGGCAGCAAGGCAGAGCTCAGCTGCTGTGGGAAGCCAGTCCCAACTGCGTGGTGATAGAGCTCTATGTCAGACAGACCTGTTTGGGATTCTGGAAAGGAACTAGTTCCTAAAACTGTTTCATCCTTTAAATTAAGTGATAATTAAGTACTCGTGTATCACATATGAAAACATTATTAAGTTGTTCACTTAAGACTTTATGTACTTACTATAGATGTGTAAAAAGGACAGAGGATAAAAACAAAAACATGTGGAGGGCTATGACCCCTGTCACAGCAGGCTGCCCATGTCTAGCTGCTGAGTTGTTCACTTCCTGGATATGGGACCCTCAAACCCTTTGACACTAGAACAATCTGTTAAGCACATTTACAAAGAGAGGCAGCAAGGGACCATCATCCTGAACCATGTACTGAGTCAGGAAATCTGAGATCTAGCCTGGGCTCTGCCATTTACTAGCTGTGAGACTTTGGGCAAGTCACTTAATTGTCTGAGCTTCAGTTTTGTTGTACTGTAACTTGGCAGTACTAATCACTCCCTGATTGTTTCACAGTATTGAGAGGTCATCAGTCTTAATGGTTTTTAGTTCTGGTAGCTGTGTGCTTCCTTTCATCCCTACAGCTGTGGCCAACTCCAGTTCAAACTCCAATCATTTCTCACCTCAGCCACTTCAACTGCTTCTTAACGCTTTGGGTCTGTTTGTTTTAACTTGTTCTTTCTAGTCTCCAACCAATAGCCATACTGATCTTAAAGTCTAAGCTGAATCATAAAACCCTCGGAAACATTCTGTGGTTCTGTTAGCTACAGGCTGCAGATTCAAGCCTGCCGAGACTTCCCTCACCCAACACTGATGATCCCTAGTGGTTTGAATTGAAATATCCTATACTGGCTCATAAGTCTAAGCGCTTGGTCTCTGGTTGGAGGTGGTATTTTGGGAGGCTGTGGAACCTTTAGGTGGCAGAGCTTTGCTAGAAGTCACTAAGGATAGGCTCTGAGGTTTCTATAAGCTGGTCCTATTTCTTGTCCACTGTCTTTTTCCTGACTGACACATCTCTCTTGGTTCTCTAATCATCTCACTCTCCAACCCACACTACAGTGCACAAGCTCTTATCATTCCCAAAGTGTGCCAAGGAACTTTACTTTTCTTCCAGCACATCTCTCTGCACATCCCGCCTGGTGCACAGGTGTTAAGTAATCAGTCACAAGAAAAAGACTTGATTACACTATGAAGTCTTTGCCTCTGCCCATTCTCTGACCACATCATCCCACATAATTGACTTATCCCAGTTCCCCTGAGTCTTACAAGCCTCTGTGCCTGGTTGCCTCAAATGTCTTCCTAATTCTTCCCAATAAATTCTGAGTTTCTGGAGAATAGGGACCTTGTCTTACTGGTCTTTGTATCTTCATAGAACACTTTGTGAAGTGCACCATCCATACTTCTTCAATTAGATGTTCTAATTTAATGTTTCTACACCTTCCTAGTGCTGCAACACTTTAATACGCTTCCTCGTGTTGTGGTGACCCCAACCATAAAATTACTCTGATCGCTACTTCATAACTGTAATTTTGCTATTGTTATGAATCAAAATGTAAATATTTGTGTTTTCCTATGTTAGATGACCCCTGTGAAAGGGTTTGTTTGAACCCAAAGGGGTTATGATCCATGCGTTGGAAACTAATGTGCTAATAGGTAGGATGAGGAAGTATGCACCTTCTCTAACTTTTTAGAGTCTTTTGTTCCAGTTTATATTCTGTAGCAAATAAGCAAACAACCTTTCATAAGTGAGTAGCTAGCACAGAGTTATGTAGCTAACACTATTGAAATAATAAAAATTATAAGAGGATGGGATGCTAACATTTAAAAGAACCTTGAGATCATGTGACATGAAAAACTCTATGGCCCGGGGACATTAGCAAGTTGCCCAAGATCACACAGCCCACAGCAGTAGTAAAAAGAAATTTCACAGCTCGTCTTTCTGAAAGATGTATATGCCATGCATAAAAAATTCACTTTTTAACAGCAAGATTAAAAGTTGGAAAAACATTAAAAGATTATACAAAAATATCATGAGCAGCCCAGGCGAGTGTGGTAAAAGTGGAAAGTTCCTCCCATGGTCCCTTACTGTCTATGACAAGAAGGACCTAGTCAAGTTAAACTGCTGGGACCCTCACAGGTGCCCAGAAGTTCCCGTGGTGCCTTGGGCCTGGAGTCCACACTGTCCAGAGAACTCAACTCAGATCTTTCACCCACTGGCACACTTGGCCCAAACTTTCATCATCCAGAAAAATGCTCCGAAAATGAGGCCAGAGCTCAAGATCAGGATGAAGGTAGCAGAGTGTATCTAAAGTCAACCAGGTCTTCAAACATGTCAGACTGCTAATGGAAAGGAAAATCTGATCCTGGGGCCATCTGACTGTGTTTTAGGGTCTAACAGACATAATCAAGGGGCTCCTCAGAGCCTACCATAAAACCAACAGAGGAGCCACACACAGGCCCTAGAATTTTCATTCATTTGTTTGAATCAGACAGCCAGGTTAGGGTGTGAGACGCCTTTTAGTGCCATGATCCTTCATTACTGCCCTATGGGAATGGTTCATGTGTGTCTCCAACCCATGATTTTGCACCATCAGACATGTTCCTGCATGCTATAGGAACTGCTGCTGAGCCACCTGGGGGAGCCCAAGCCTAGGAGGTGGGATTGGGGGGGAAAGGAAAGGGAATCTACCATTGTTACAAGATAACACATTCATAGGCCATAATACAGATGAGGAAAAATAGCTCTCCTACCATAGGCTGAATGCAGGAACTGAAACTCTGTTGGATAGAAATGTTAGTTGAAATTACCACTAAGAATTTGTGCAAAGTTGTACATATTGCAGTTATATAACAGACTTGTTTAAAGATAGCAGTTTCCCCCAGGCTGTATAATAAGCAGTGAATGGAGAGAATGGGAAGTACCTCCCCATGGAAAGGGTGACAGACTTGCCATCCAGGAAAGTTCATTAGTTTAAAAGCACCTCCCTGGATGCCACAGGATCTTCCAGAGAACAGACCAAAAACTGCTTGGATATGAACAGGCATGAAGTCCTGTTCTTTGCTTGTCCATATTAAGATATTTCAATTCTCCCAAGAACTGCTGAGGGAGAAGGATGTGACATTTAAGATCTTTCCAAATTTGTTCCTTGTAGTCTGCAGTTCAGATTCATCCAGTCCCCCTCAGTCTACAATTCAACCATTCTGCTAGTTCTAGGCTCAGCAGTCAGGTCCCACACCTCTGCCATGCCCTTTACAAGCATGCTCTGCCCTGTAATGTGCCCTCCTCCCCTGTGTGCTTCCAAAGGCACCTCTTACTTCTTCATCAAGTCTCTACTGTTAGTTCCTTTGTGAAGTTCCCCCCCTATTATCACCTCCAGGTTGATTGTGGCTCTACCTCTGTTCTAATATGTGTTCTTTTCTATTATTTACTATAGTGTAGTACAATTCATTTATTAATATACCAGGATCCAAAATTAACTATGAGCTCCTTCAGGCAAAGATGACAATGTTTACTTTTTCTACCCCGGTATAAAGGATATTCAACAAATGCTTAGTGAGTAATAAAGAACTTACGTAAAATCACCTACAACCCTGAGGTAAGTGGCTATATGTGAACTTTTAAAAGGGAGGTGACTTTGTACAAGGCTGTATACTTAGGGAGAAGACTAATCATGACTCAAACCCAGGACGTTCATGTCATAGAGCCCATTCCTTCTCCTGATCATGGGTGCCGAGCACTGACTAAGCCCAGGTTTTCAATCAGTGGTTAAATACCAGTAATGCTCCTGGCCCCAAAACAGGAAGAAAAAAAGGATCTTTCCAATATTTTCTTTCACTAGCTTTTTTGGGAGTGTGTGGGGGTTCTTTCTTACTATGAATTTAAGCTGGCCTCAGACTTGAAGCCTCAGCCTCAGTGTATGCCATCATACCTAGCACCTCTTCAGTATTTCAAACCCATTTCAATCTCTCTGTTCAAGAGTGTTATATGTCTTCTATTTCTGAAAAAACAAGTCTCAGCCTGTAAAAAGGCTCTTTACTCTGGTGGCAAGTCTCTCACTCTATTCCAAATTTACACCCCAGAAAAAGAGGGAGGGAAGGAGAAGGAAGGGGAATGGAAGGAGGGAGAGAGAGAGAGTAAGAGTGATTCCCAATGGCAGCCTCAGGCAAGACTGAGTAAACCTTAATTTGGACATTCTTGAGAGAGATGGAGCAGTCCTACAGGGTGGAGGCATGTCTCATATATTCTAGCAGAGGAGAAAGGGGCCACCCTCAAGTCCCAGGGAGAATGAAGGACAGAGACTCTACTCCCACTCCCAACCCGAGGTTGATCTGAGTTCCCAGAGAGGATTCCAAAGAGAATCAAGCCAGAACTGGCGGAAGGGCCAACTGCTAGGGTCGTTTTTTACAAATGGAGGCTTAGTCCCACCCTCTTCACCACTGTCATTCCCACCCACCACTTACCTGGAGCATAACTGGGGCTATTGGTGGGGTACAGGCTGGGATTGTAGGCAGGGGCAGCTGCCGGGTAGGCTGTGGGATAACCTACAAAGACATAGAAGAAAAGCCTCACTTGGTTAGGCAAGGGGACTGAGGAGGCTTGGCTTTCAGTATCTTTACAGACTATTTCTGACTATATACATGAATAGCTTTCAAACTTTCAAGAGAAAAGTCACCAAATAGTGCTATCCTATTTTTAACAAGCAATACATCTATCCTCACTGTAGAATGGAAGAAACAGTACAGACATTCATACAATAAAACACATAAGCCTACCAAGACATTCCTGATATGACACTACTTACTCTCTTCCCAAAAAGGTAATCCCTTCAGCACTAACAGGACCTATTTTGGTACCTATTTTGTTCATACAGTTTTCTTTTATTATTATCATATTTATTTTGTGTGCATGTGCACATGAAGACATGCACTGAGCCATCTTACTGGCCCTCAGATAGTTTTCAATATATTCTCTTTAAAAAAAAAAAGTTCTACTTGAAAAGATTTTTATTTATGTACACCAATGTGTGTGAGCATGAATGTATATGCACACTCACATCACTGCACATATGTAGAGGTCAAAGAACAACTTGGTGGAGTCAATTCTCTTCTTTCTGCTATATGTGGAATCCAAAGATCAACTTCAGGTCCCCAGGTTTGTGTGGCAAGAGCCTTAAATCCACTGAATCATCTAGCCAGCTCTAGACACTGTTTTATTGTTTTGGAACTCCCTAATGTATTAAATATAAAATTTGTCATTTTAAGCACTTATTTTGGTTTAAATGCTTTATGTCCCTCCACAGGCTTATGTGTTTGACACCTAGCACTGTTCTGGGAGGTTGTGGAACCTAGGAGACACCATAGGCCACAGGAGAGGCAGGCCTTGAGGGTTATAACTTGGCTATGCTTCACATCCCATCTTGGTTTCGTATCTGCTGCCACAATGTGACCAAATGCAAGCTCTGCCCTCAGGCATCATGCCAAAACACCAGGCCATGTTGGACTATTCCTTGAAACCATGAACTAACATATGTTATTTCTCTGAGGTAGTTTGTCACAGGGATCATAAAAGTAACTCATATACTATGTGGGCAATTCAGAACACTTCATTACTTTCTTAGTGCTATACAACTGTCCTCTGTATGTTCATAAAACATTTCTGCCAACTCAAATAGAAGCTCTGTAACCACTGTAACTCCTAAACCTCTAGTCCTCACTGGTAATCTAATCTACCTTTAAAACGTTATTTCTACAATTCATTTCTAAGGATATAATGAGAGTCTGTGCTGGGAAGATGGCCTAATAGTTATAACCACCAGCTGCTCTGCCAATGGATCTGGGTTTGACTCCTAACACCCACATGGCAGTTCACAACCATTTATAATTCTGACATTTTCTTTTGGCCTCTGTGGGCACCAGGCATATACATGATGTACAGACATACATGTAGGCAAAGTAACTACTTACATAAAAACAAATAAATTTTGAAAAAAAAGTGTTTTGAATACTTTTTTTAAATTTGTTCCCCACCCCCAAGTTTTAAAACCTTTTACTTGCATATTTTTATTTGAACATTAAAAACTGACACTGAGCCAGGTGGTGATGATGGTGCACACCTTTAATCCCAGCACTTAGGAGGCAGAGGCAGGCAGATCTCTGAGTTCGAGGCCAGCTTAGTCTACAGAGGGAGTGCCAGGACACCAGGGCTACACAGAGAAACTCTGTCTCAGAAAACAAAAACAAAACAAAACAAAACAAAAAAAAAAAAAAAAAAAAAAAAAAAGAAGAAATAAACACATTGGGAGTTAGATCACTGCAATATTAAACAATAATCAAGGTAAAGTACACTGAGAACTTCCATATCCAAGTGGCTTGAAGGAAGCTACATGTGGGAACTAAGTAGATAGTGGAGGGAAAAATCATTTTAGATTAAAAACACAAAACAACAAAAACCCAAACCACTCAGTGCAGAGCTCTAACCTGGGAGGTGTAACAAAATACCTCAGAAAAACAGCTTAAAGAAGGGTTTGTCAGGGCTCACAGTTTAAGTGTTCCGTCCTTCACTGTGGGGAGGTCCTGGCAGCAGGACAGTGGGGCAGCTGGTCATATTTGCATGCAGAGAGATGATGCTGGCACTTGGCTTGCTTTCTCCTTTTTATTTAGACAAGTCCTTGTAATGCCACAGTCAGGGAACCTCTTCCCATCTCAATTAATCCAGTCTAGAAACGTCCTCAGGGAGGTTTGTCTCTTACATGGATTCTATTTCCTATCAAACTAGCAATTTGAAAATAGAGCCCAGACCAGGACAACAGTGCAGAGTGGTAAAAATGACCCAGGAAAAGTCACCACATACTTTACCTCGGTACATCCAGTAAGGCAATCAAGTTCAACATGCACTAGCAGGGTTTAAGTGCCCACGTAACTACTCCCTGCAGTTTTTAACCCTCATTGGTATTCTGACTAACTGTGGAAACCTGTTTTAAAAGCTAAAGATTAACTCCCTAAGTCCCTAAATTTTCTTTGGGATCTGTAAATACTAGAGCTTTAATAACATATCTTTGTTAATATGCTGTCACATAAATTCTTTGAATTCCAAAGAAAACTCACCTACCCTGGTCTGTTTTAGAACTGAAATAGCCAACTTGTCACTTAAATTACCAATCCAGACATGTGCCACTTCTCAAGAAGAGAATGAAGGGATGTAATCTGAGAAGTTAAGTGACAAAAATCTACATTCAGCTTCTTGTAAGAGATTGTATGCCATAGACAACCATGTTTCTATTGTGCTATTTAAGATGACTTTTACTTTAGAGGAAAATTACAGGATCATTCTTCAAAGTTTTCTTTATATTTATTTATTTACTTATTTAGTGACAGAGTCTCACTATGTAGCTCTGGTTGTCCTGAAACTCACTATGTAGACCATGCTGGCCTCAAATTTAAAGAGACCCATCTGCCTCTGCCTCCAAGTGCTGGGATTAAAGGCATGTACCACCACAACCACCCAAATCCTTTAATGTTTATAATTAAGAGCTATTATTTAATTTATTTACTCTGAGATAGGGTAACCCAGGATGGCCAAGAACTCATTGTATCCCAGGCAGGCCTGGAATTCATGATTTTCTTGCTTCAGCCTTCTGAAGTCAATATAAATAGAAATGGTAGGAAATAAAATACTAAAATGTGTGCCCCCTCCCATCCTTTTGTGCCTGCATCCGAGTACACACACACACACACACACACACACACACACACACGTACTCAAGTTTGTGCATACATATGTAACACAACTATGTGCATATGTACACCTATGTATAGGTTCCATCAGAGGCCAGAAGGAGTTATCAGATCTCATGGAGCTGGAGTTGTAAGTAGTTGTGAGCAACCAGATGTAGATACTGAGAATTAAACTCTCGTCATCTGGAAGAAGTACTCTTAATCACTGAATTATTTCTCCAACCCCTTTTAAATAAATAATAACAAAAAAAAATGTGAATGCATGTGTTTGTGGTCTATGCATTTGTGCATGTGCCACAGCACACATGTAGAGGTCAGAAGACAGCTTTAGGAGTCAGTCCTCTTTCATTCCACCATGTGGGCTACAGACATGAAAGTCAGGTCTTCACTCTTGGCTACATGGAGTACCTTCACCTAGTATGCTATCTCACTGACCCAGAACTGGAAGTCTTACTCATAACATTAGGTAAGAGAAGTAAAATAGTAAAAAGAGAATCAAATGATCACTGTTTGTGGGAGCTGTGACTATAAATAGGAAAAACAAAGAAACAAAAACAAACAAACAAACAACAACAACAACAACAACAAAAACCACCAAAAGACGATAGTAGAGATTTAAATATTCAGTACATAAAAAATCAACATACAAAATGTAGTAGCACTTTGATACAACAGTAGTAGACTTGCTGGAAATGAAACCAAGAAAGCAATCTCATTCACAATAGCTCTAAAAATAGAAAATAGGAGACTGATCATCCAGTAGCTCAGTAGCTCTTAGTCCAGATAGCTGCAGTAGACAGTGCAACACCATAAACAACAAGAGGGATTATGCTTCACAAGTGACTTTCACATACATACATTCAGTGGCTCTTGTGCTCCCACACTCTCTACACACACACACCACATACACCTTTTAAACGTGAAAATGACTGTTGTATCCCCAATGTAAAGACTTCTGCCTTTAAAAACCAAACCAAAACAAAAACCCTTTTATTCTTTCAAAATAAAAGAGAGCAAGAAAAAGAGCTATAATTCAGAATCTCTACCGTGTTCTGGAAGGGCACATCTTTACTGATTTAATCTCCACCCCAACTTTACAAAATGTATTATTAGCTGCATTGTATCATGAAAAATAAGACCTAGAGACTGATATTGGGGTTCAAACTTCAAGCTGAAGAATAGAACTAGCTCTCACCTCCAGCTCAGGCTGAAAGGGCTGACCATACACAAGCTCTTCACCAAGTCTCAAACTGCAGCCTCTCCTAGGCATGGATGGAGAATCCTGAGACTTCCATGTCTGCCTATCCTCCCATACTGAGCCTTCCTATCTCAGTGTGGCTGGAGAATGAATGAATGTCTTATACTGACGACTGAAGACCCTGCTTCTATCTTTTATATCTCTCTAGTGCTGGGATTTAAGGTGCCAGCTGTTACTCTTTTGTACTGTTTCAATCTCGTGTATCCCTGGGTGGTCTTGAACTCAGAGAGATCCATACCACCACCCCTAGCTTCTGGCTGCTGGGATTAAAAGTATGTGCCTGGCTTCTATGGCTTGTGGCTGGCTTTGCTTTTGGAATCCTCAGGCAAGGATTAATAAATCATAAATAATATATTATTACTACAATCCATTTCTGAAATGAAGATAGTGGGACAGATCTTACAATGTTAATGAGTACACTGGAAACAGAACTGAGGTCTGAATGAAACAGAGTCCACCATCCTAATCCTCCTCCCTACCCTTCCTGACCTGGCTAGTTTTATGTCAACCTGACACAAGCTAGAATCAGCAGAGAAAATGACTTGAGAAA